ATTGATTAAAAATATATATACATATATATATACATTTTCTTTTTTTAAATAGTAAATACAAGATCAGATGGCGACGACGACGACGACGACGATGAAGTAAATAGTTTTCAGAGCATCGGGTACAAAATATTTTTACTATATTGTAAGAAATATTTCGGATAACTTTAGTAGGATGTAATTTAATCAACGTGTTGAGAATTTTGTTTAAAGAGTTTTTTAGGAAAATCTTTCCTTTATGGACGTCAGAAAGGAGTCATATAGATTAAAAAAATATATTATTGGAATAAATCATGTAATTTATTATTTGGATGAAATTTATAAAAGAAAATAAAAAAGAAATATTGTCAGCCACGATACCACATGCAAGACGTAACAATATCCATGATAATAAAGTATGCTAATATACATATATATAAAATTTGGTAGCTAAACTCGTTGTAGGAGTTTGCGACTACCAAGGGAAAATTATATATATAATGTATGACAAAAAGGGTTTTTTTTTTTGTATGAAAAGATATAACAAAAAAAAGAAAGGAGGAATAACAGAGAAAATGTCATGTTAGATTAGTCTGCTGTCAATATAATTATAGAATGATAATTTTGAATGTACGTGTAATATAAACAATATCGTTTAAGATAAGAAATCGTATCGATTAAAAACAACTAGCGCACGATTATATATCAGACATTCTAGATATTATAATAAATGATGTCCTCGGGACATTTTCATTTTTGAAATCTTGCGTAAATTTCATTTATTTATAGCACTTTTTTCAAACCGCGTGCCATTTTTTCTGAAATGATTTGACATTTGATTTTTGTAAAATTGAATCCATTCGAAATTTACAATCATCAAAAAATGTTATTTGTAAACAAATTAATTTTGTATTAATTAGATGTATCAATATATTGCGATAAGCTTTTTTCTTTTCTTTTTTAAGTTTCTCGACAAATTTCAAATTTCCCGCCAATGATTGCATTCGCAACATCAAAAATTTAGGTACAACGATTTCGATAGGTACGAACACAAGAATTAACATGGCGTCAAGAAGATTATATTACTCAACTAAGGTGCATCAATATACAACAAACAAAAACTCTCTCTTTTTCTTTAATTAAAAATAGTTTTCTTCGATCGATTGTTTTACCAAGCAGTAACTTTGAGATATTTCAAGAAGATGTCACCGGATAGTGGTTAAGATTCTTTTATTGAAAACATTGTAATAAAAGGTAAGTTAAAATAAGAAAAAAACAAAATTCCAATTTCTAATAATTACAGAAGAAACAAGTATCTGATATTGTATAAATTTCAATAAGTATTAGATTAAATAATAGTTTTATTAACGCGAAAGGTTTAAGGTTAAAGAAATTGAAAAATATCTGAATTATTTTTCTGCTAATAAAGTCTTAATTTTGGCTATATATATTTATATATATGTAAATATATGTGTGTATATATATATACAGGATATCCCATTTACATGTACACCTTCAGTTTTTAAAGTCCTATTAAAAATGTTTTTAAATAAAAGTTATTTACAACATTGCACAAACTTAAATATACTTTTATATTTCATATAATATATTCTTGTATAAGGTACAAATGAGGTCATCACTTCTTTCTAATAATATTATGCATAGTTAGTTACATCAAATGATTAAAATATTCATGATAATTTTTAGAAAATGTAATACTAGTTTTATTCTTGTGTTGTAATAACATTAAATTATAATTATAAATCAGTATTTTAATACGTTCGCACACGAATTTCTATTAAGGACTGTCTCACATATTGGTGACAGTAATCAAGATGATAAATAAATTCTATATTGCGATTGGAATTTTCTTCTCCTCAGTGTGGTAGCAAACACATTAAAGAGAAATTCAAATAAAAGAAACACTATCGTTAATCATTTATCATATTTAAGTTTGTTCTTTCGTTGTGAAACAATGTTTTTAAAAAATATTTCCAATAGAAGTCCAGAAAGTGAAGACATGCAAGATAAATGGGACAATCTGTATATAAATATATTAGGATAACAATGATATAATATTTATTATTAACATATATGAAATTCATTGTGCGAATGGATAGATTATACCTTGATCATGATCCATAGGGTGTACTTGAACTACTGTATGTGATGGGACATTTTTATTTTCTGTTAAACGACACCACAATCGTAAAGTTAGGAAATATAATATTTCCATAAAGGAAAGAAAACTAAATCCCATAAATAGACCAAGTAGACCACCGGTACTTGCTACAATAATACAGCATTTAGAGTTGCATCTTGTGTCAAAGTTGCACTTTTTACATATTTTAGTTCATTTTTAAATAATTACTTACAAAGGAATTCTGTAAATCCAAAAAGTTCATTTTTCATAGATTTGGTGAATTGAGATTCCACAAAAAAGATATGAACCACTGCCATATTTTCACTGTATTGTTAATGCAACCAATGAATATTTTTTTTTATGTAATTTAATATGTATAACATGTAAAACTAAACAAGAGTTAACAAAGATACTTGCGTAAAATATTTTCTACTCTTCTTAGTATATTTTTCCTGAATATTAAAATTAGACATCAATTTACTATCGGATATCTCCAAATTATAACTCAATTCGAAACATCCTGGCCAACAATTACAGCTCGGTCTAAAAATAAAATAACAATAATTTCTAATTATATAAGAGAAATGATTCATTAAAAATATACTTACATTTCAGTCAAATTCCACTGGTTGTCATCATAAAGTCTAGCTTCCATCGCTCGTCGTGCTGTAGTAGCACATGAGTCATCTTTCTTTCCACAAATTGTAGTATTTGATGATTCTAAAAAATAAGAAACGAAAATTAAAGATTAACTGTTAATAATCATTAATCTACAATTAAGAATTGATTTTACTTGGCATGTAATATTGGACGCAGTTACACATTTTTTGTGTGAAGTTAGCTTCGCATTCTAAGATACAATTTCTTTGCGTGTAAGTTCGGTAATAACGTAGATTTCTCTCAGTCGTGAAAAAACATTTTCGTTTTCTCCTAGGTATAGTTAATATATTTTTACTCGCTGTTGATATTCTAGGAGATACTATAACTCTGACTTCTTTGCCAGGAGCTACAGCAAACCCAAAATCAGCAATTTTTGGTGTTTCTACGGGACTGTGTAGTAGCATCTATGATCAAGTTTTTAGGATAAAAATTTTAATTATTTTAATTTATTATTACTTACAATTCTTTTTTAATATAAATAATATAATTACTTTAAAGCCTGCACTAGCTGTAGAAGAACAATAATATTCTTTAATATTAGCATCAAGAACTAAAGTTAAACCATAATAAAGACCAGCACCGTAAGGTCTCCATGGTATAGTATCCGATGGAACTTCTTGATTGTATCCAATTTCAGGATTCCAATCGATACCAGCGAAAGAAAAAGTAATATTTAAATCAGGCCAATCGCGTCTAATGAATAAAATATAAATTGTTAACAATTTATATCTATATATATCTTACAACTTGGCTCTCTCTCTCTCTCTCTCTCTCTCTCTCTGTCAATTAATTTTGAAATAGGAAACATGCCACTTACGGATCGTGAAACAAATGATTACGATTTACAGAATTAAAGTTACAACAAATACCCTCGTCGGTCATAGTAGGATTAAAAATCTTTTCACATTCCGTTTGATTGCCACGCCATTGACAATAATATAACATGTCGCTACATGATTGAGATACCTGATGAAATGTTATTCATATTAAAATTATCGATGAAAAAAATATAAAATATATAAAAATAGTATAATAAAATGTTTGAAATAAAAAGAATACAAAATTACATTACATTAATCATAAAATGTCGCATAGCGTTCCATTCTACTGCTTTTTGTTCTAAATCATAAGCGATGGAGGAATTTTCGGAATTACACAAATCCTCCAACAATAATTTCTCTTGTATATTTTCCCTAAACAAAAAAAATATAAAATACAATAGGAGAGTAATTTTTTTTTAATTAAATCAAATCAATAAAATGAAAAGGTATTCATTATTTTACCCATTTTCTATGCGAATTGCTTCACTTTTTTTTACATTATTCATATTGCAAATAGTAACCGCAGGAAATGGAAATTCGTTGAGGGAAACAGTCTCAGGACTTAATGAAATTATTATGGGTGATGAAACCCACTTCTGATATAAAAACCAGATATAATATGTGGCTGTTAATACAGCAGCGGTGAAAGAAATAATCCAAAATATTCTGCGAGGAAAAGATTTATTGTAATTAGTATCTTTTGAAGTATCATTAAGTTTTTTTTTTTTTATTAATTGGCCAATTTGTGCAGAGACAAAGCTTTTCTTTTATTTTTTTTTTCTATGAACAATAGGAAACTAAATTTATTCGATTTTAGATTCATGGAGGATTTGTAAATTTCTCCATAAATTAGTCTAATTGATATTTACCTTTCTACAATTGACAATTTCGAATCACCAACATAACGTAACCCATGAAGAGTACTGTTTAAGCAATACTGTTTTACAATGGTATTGATCTCTGTACTCTTTAAACACGTTTGTACATTGTTTACACTCAAAGTATAAAATAAAACAGATTAGACAATTATTAATCTATATTAAAAAGATATCAATCAAGTCCAAAAAAAGGAAAAAAAAAGAAAAAGAAGATAACAAAATGTTCATTTACCTTTCACGTTTTTCTTCATTTTGGTCATAATTTTTAGAACTTATCGTTTCTCTCGTAGCTAAATTATTCCGATTGTATCTTGATCTTAGTGTCGATTCCCTCGATCGATACATACCCTTAACAAAAAAGGTATTTATCTCTGAATAATTATCATTTTTCATGGAACCTTTTTGTTCTTTAATATCCTACAAGGGGTTGCTTGACAATTAATGATTGATGTTGGTTTTAATAAATTAGGATGAAATATGAAAGTATATAATTTCTTGAATTAGGTATCTATCATGAATTATGAAATATATTTTTTTTACTTCATCAAAAACACTTAAAAAGAAATACTCCCAATTCCAAATACTACTATTACTACTACTTTTTAGAATTGAGAGTATTTGTTTTTTTTTTTTAATGCGATTTTAAATCATTTTTATAGAGTAAGTAGAATGAAGTGATTGCTACTTAAAATTAAGGATGGTTTATCTTTTTTTAAGGTATATTTCAATTTTTAATTTACCATATTTCAAAGAGGCATATACATTAAACACATTACAAAAAAAAACCATTTGCAATACCTTTAAATTGGTGTCACGTAAAGCGTATCCTTCGAGACGTTGAGGAGATTTGTAAGGATTTTGTAGATGAACCGTGTTAATAGTGTACGGAAGACAGGGACTATGATCTCTTAGATAATTGTTCTTATCGTTATGATTATAATTTCCAATTGGTAATGCACGCGAATTATTATCGCGTTCCCTCAATTGTTTAACAATTTTTAACGATTCCGCAGAGTCCTCATATTTCTTTGTTATTAATGATTTATCGAGGATCTTAAGATTATCAAGATACCTCGATTTTTCTACCCTCCGCGTTGACATATGATCCCGTTTTTGTTTCCAACGTGAATCTTGAACCTTTTTTCTCCCCGAAGACGTTACTTTTTCCATCTGATAGGCATTATTCTACCTTGTATCTAATATTTTAATGAGAGAAATAATGAAATAAAAAAGAATTACAAAGGAGAGACATTAGATGGTCCAAGTTGTGCAAAACATTTTACCAATATTTTCTCAAAGTGGCATAAAAAATTAATTGTGAACGCATCAAGGAATCTTATAATTTTATATTATAAATTTATTTCATTACAAGTATTTTTAAACTGATCCACTTCAAAATATTAGCCAAAATAAAATGTACCCAATAAAAATATAAAACTACCCCTTTTTTTATATATATACATATAAAAAAAATGAAATTAAAAACCTTTCAATTAATAATAAGTTAACTTAATTTGTTAACTGTGTCCAAACTTTCTGCATAACTTGGATCACTTGATGTATTTAAATCCAAATGTTAATGGATACCACCTTGTTATATATCCTTCCAGATTCGAATATCAGTATTGAAGCATTTCTCGTAAGAACGATAAGTTTTTATAGAAAAATTTCTATCTTTTTCTTTCTTTTTACACGCGTGATGATATTCAAATATGTGTAGGATGATCACGCGATAAAGTGTGTAAACGCGACGATTCTATGAACAAAAAAAAAGAAGAGGGGCTTTCAAAAAAGATATAAGAATTATGTGTAGGAGTATATTAAAGTGTCCTAGAAAAACCACCCCCGATGAAGGTTGCCGACTGACTAAAGGTATAACAATGACGAGGACACCTTATCAAGTTTCATAGAAAGATACTTACGTACTTACCCTTGGCTCGATTTTACCCTCCTTGTTGACTAGGAAAGGTTCCAACATATACGTTCATATATATATATATGATACGTTGATAAATGAAAATTATTATTTTCATAATTTTTCCATAGGCGTTCCATGTTTCACCCGACGACGAGTAGGTAATCACCAATGATGTGAATTTAAGATTACAATTTTAATGCGACGAGATTACGATTATTCATTATAACTGTGTTTAACAAAAGGTTTTTTCCTTCTTTTAATTATATTTTATCTTGTACAAATCACAAGTATTTCGATACCATCAAACTCCCCTTTACCATCATTACAAGTATTCTTTTAATCAGTATTTTATAAAATAAATTTTTTGGTATGTACAGATCTATCTTGTTTGTTGCATTGAGAAACTAGGAAGCTTTATGTTCAATGTACTAGTATCAAGTACTGAATATATATATATATATATATTAAGTTTTTGATTTAATAAAAAAATTAATATTATTATTATTATTATTATTATTTAAAAAATTTCCAAAGGCAAGGGTCAATTTAAACGTTCATTTTTCTTTACTGTTTAAATATAACTAAAAGAACTGCAGAAATGATTCGTATCGAACATTAATAGCGCATGATTTATAAACGATAACGAAACGTTTCTTTTTCTGCTTTTTTTTTTTATTATTTTTTTCTTTTTGTCTCCCCCCTACCATTTTATTTTTACAGTCATTGCATGCATCGTCGATTAATCTATAAGATTCAAGTGCTAATATCGTCATGATACCTTGACCAATTATTTATTCTTTACAATTCTTTGCGAACGCACGTGTCAGGTTTTTTTTTTTTTTCTCTTTTTTTTTCTCTTTTTTTTTCTCTCTGCTACATTTACTCATCTACTTTGTAATTTTCCACGTAAATAATATAAAATAATTTTATATAGCAAAAGATTCGTAGAGAGTTATGAAATGCATACATTACATTTTATAACATAGTATTCATGATTTACGATCTACGTTTGTTTTTCTGTTCGTTTCTAATGTCGTCGAAATATCGATCATTAATAATTAGAAAAATAATATATTAAATAAAATAATTTGATCGGATAGTTAGGCAGAAATTTAGGAACTCTTATAAAAATTATAAAAGTAATGAATTAGAAACAATATGGATCATATTTATTTTGCAAACCATATTACTAATTTATAAATTAAATAAAATTTTAAATAATTTAATTTCAAGAAATAAAATATATTTTATAGAATTTTTTCTTATATTTTTATAGTTTAAATTTTCTTTAATTTTGTTTTAAACTAAATTAATCCAAATTTCATATAATTCTTATAGAGGGTCTAAAATTAATTGTAAAATTAGATTGAAAAGTTTCTAATGAAATTAAGATTATTATCGAGGATAATTTAAACAATAAGCTTTCTCAACCTGGTGGTAAGTTTCCATCAGCTATTCCATAGCACACTTTCCCTGTCCATAATTTTTCTTAACAAGTGAAAATGACATTGCATAAGTTCGACCAGCATAAAGGAACGTTTCGTGACAACGTTTAATGGATCTCTTCAGCATAATTACATGACAAACATTCATGTTTTTCTTATCGATGTTTAACCGCACCTCACGCGAATATCAGCTGCTTTTGCTGCTGCTTGACTAGTCATGTTTTTAACAAAATTGTTTACGTTCAACAAGATAACAATGAAAATTTCTGTCTTATGTAATTCTGAATATATTAAGAAACGCATTCATCACTTCCCTTTTTTAGTTGTTTTATTTTTTTATAATTTTTTAATTTGAAACAAATTTTTTCACCCCTTCACATTTCAATAGAAATTATTTAATTAAAAAAACGATCATAATTTTTATAAAATTATAGATACTTTAATTTCTTTTAAATATCAAGTATGATGCAAGAATTGCTTTTCACTTAATCACATGATTAGGTGAGAATATATTTATGTTAATAAGATTAAGAACAATGCAAAAATGATATTCAATAGACAAAATATTTGAATTCATTAACAATAATTAAGTCAGTCGATTGTATTCCTAATGCATTTCCATTAGTTTTACCTTCGAATAAATAATAGATAATTCTATTCGTCTATTTAATATCAATAATATGACTACTCTGACTGTGCCTAATGACTATACAAGAAATAACTTGATAGAAAAGTACATTTTAAATATACACGTGATTTTATCTACCTTTTAACGATGTTTATTTTTTACTTTTAACGTAGTCCAATTATACGAAGTTAGTTAAACTTCAAATTATTAACGACTTAACGTCAATGTTTTATTGATAATTGTATTATTTCAGCTCGATAAAAAAAAATGTCTAAGAAGAATAGAAAACGAAAGGAGGGGGAAAACCCGTCGGAAATTAATTGGGAAGAAGAAAGTTATTTTCCTACTAAATTAAAAGAAGAAATGAGAACAATGTGGGAAGTATGTACATTATTGTTAAGTAAAAAAAAAAACATATGTATTATTCTTTTATTTTATTTTTTTTATTTTAATATATGTTTTTTTTTTTGTTAATTAATTAATTGTTAATTAAATTTTGTAGATACCGCAGATTTATCAATTTCTTCATTTAACCAAAGACATTTTAAACGTACCCAATATAACAATTTATGAAATGGAAAGGATGCTACTCATACCAACAGCTTCTAAACAATTAGCAAATATTATGACATGTTTATTAAGGTATACATTACATTACGATGTTATTCATATTTTAAATGTAATAATTATAAAATTCTTTATCTAATTAATTGATTTATTTTTGTATCTTTTTAGCTATTCGAACAGATCCAAAATGAATAAAGTACCACCAATGCCCTATGAATTTTGGACGAATATTTTAATGCATAAGTTAAACAATTGGTTTAAATGTTACCAGTTAAAACACATGGATGTCATCAAAGTTAGTGTTAATATGTTTTATATATTTTTATATATTTTTATATTACATTAAACATTTTTTTTTTATTTTTTTTTTTTTCTGAAATATAAATAACTTATTCATACGAAAGTAAAATTTGATGTTTCTCTGATAATCATTAGATTTATGATCAAAGTCTTATAGGTTCTAGAGATTATCGGCGTTGAACCAGAATTCTGGAATGTTTTTCCTGATCCATCTTTATTCGCTGAAAAAAATTTTGAAGATTTGAGTTTTAAACAACGAGTATGGCTTTTAAAAACTCTTTGTGATTCTCTCGTGGTAATGAAAATAATAATAATAATAATAATAATTATATATATATATATAATAATCATTTATTTTATAAGAAAGAAAAAAGATTTAACATTAATAATCTAACATCTATTTGTTTTTTTTTACAGCATTCGAAGAAAATAATTCAAGAAAGAGTTTCTAATCATCCATGTGAGGATCAAGAAGAACTAATTTTAGGAACCGATAGTCATGGAGCTACATATATTTATTTTCCACAATTCATCAATAGCGAATTGAGAATATATAGGCATTGCATGAATAATACCATTCTTTCCACTGCAAAAGTATATTAATATTTTATTACCAACCCTTTAACTGCAGAGCACTCAGAAGCAAAACTTGAAAATAATGTTCTATTCGCTACAAAGAAAAATATCGCGTCGGTCACTTGTTCACTGAACATTTAAGCAGTGTACACAGTCAAAGGGTTAAATTACATATACCATAATTTTTCTTATAAAATTGATCAATTTACTAATTTAAAATTATATGTTTTAGTTTGTAAAAGTAGAAACAATTGCAGAATCCGAAGCAATAGAAAAGGTTAATAATTCGTTATCATCCCGTGGAAAAGTAAAAAAAAGTAGAAAGAGAAAAACTAAAAGATGGCAGAACGGATATTGTCCAAAAATAAGAAAAGATAAGTCAGTAAAATCTGTGGGAAAGAAAGTAAATAAAAAATTGTATATTTGCAATTGTAATAATAGTGCCATAAATAGACCTATCAGTGAAGATTTACATTTAAGTTTTACTAGCTCGACTAGTAATAATAACAATAATAATAATAATAATAATAATAATAATAGTAATAGTGATAATATTAATAGTAATAGTGATAATAATAATTTAAGTATAAATAATCTTGACAAGAAAAGAATGAGAAATTCATTTGAAATGTCTGATAAAAGTACAATGTCAACCAATACAAGTGATTACGAAACGAACGTATCGAATAATGAAACTGTTAAAGAAAGTACATTTAAAGGATTTTCTACGCCTGCCGATGAAAAAGATGACATTATAATAATTAATCAATTATTAACTAAATTAAAGACAGAAATAGATATTAATCATGTTAATTCTAACGTAACAATAGAAAATACGACTGATGTAATAAATGATACTGAAAGTTCTACTTTAAAAGAAGATGAAAATAATACAGAATCAATTTTAAACGATAGTGACTCGAACAGGTGTAATTTAGATAATTTATCTAATAATTCGAAAACTGATGATGAAAAATTAAACGAGATAATAGTAACTGGAAATACAACATTAATGGATAAAACATTTTCAAATAATTCCGAAGACGTCACCGATTTTGATTCATCTTTTACTTCCAAGTCGGATGATGAGAAATTAAATGAAACTGAAACTTCGGTAATTGACACAACAAAGAATATTTCAAACGATGTACCTGATACTTCTGATAAGTGCAGTAATACAAAAAGAAAAAGATCGATTAATCGAGAATTAAAAAATGCAAACAAAAAATTGAATGTCATCAACAATGAATCATCGGTTCTCGAAGCAGACGAAACGCAAAATTGCATTAGAAAAAGTCTTAGATTGAAAACAAATTTACAGATGGAATATAAATTATTTGATAATGATATCAGTAACGAATCACAAATTACAGACATAGACAACAAAACGGAAGAAATGGAAAATAAACCTGAGATGAAGAATGAAAATGCTTCTTTTAGAATAATGCTCAACGAACTTGGTGTATCCAATTTTTTGCTTGTAGCTGATAGCGTTGAAACACTCAGGAAACTTATTTCAAGTTTTTCATCTAACATAGTAAGTGTTTATATGTAAAATCTATTATATAATATTCATTCATGCATTAAAAATTTATATATATTAGTAGCTTTGAATTAATTGATTACTTTAAAACTTTTCAGACGGAATCGCCTCCTTCATGCGAAGTATTATTAGTGAATAAATTGAAGGAGCTATTAAAATCTGTTGAAGAAGTTGAAACAATTTTAAAAGATACGACAAAGAAAGCTAAAGCAAAGTTACTGAAGGAATGGACGAATTTTAAAATTGGGTATGTTATAAAGTAAAAGTTGTTAATTATCATTTCATAAATATTAGATCATTAAGTATGAAATGTCCAATTTAAAAGTGAATGTAATCGGAATAATCGGACGTTTAATACTTAACACATTAAGCGTGAATTTCTTGTTTAATAATCGCAACTTATATTTGTGTTCGCCTTTTTACCGCATCTTTTTAATTTATAATATACCTACTGCATGAGTTGTAGTATTTGTATTCAAGTAAACAATCAAAACATTTGTCATTCTGATGCGGGTGTTACTTCTTTATTTGCAATTGTACTTTGTGTATATACTTTTTTAAATCGAATATTCCGCCGAATGATCATCGCTTCCGCCAGAACGGAGAACAAAGTCAAATCAATTCCACGTTTAACGCGTTAATGACCTAATGTACATTCATTTCTTTTTCCATCCACCTTCATCTCATTAAAATCTAGAGAATAGTTGTATCCGACTTAAATGTAAACCTGAAACCTCTGAAAATTGCTACAATGAATTTACAAAATATGTGATATAAAATTGTCTTCCAATCTTATATTCAAATCTTTATGAAGTATATATGACAAATAAGCTATTGTTTGTTGTAGCAGTATTGAGGATCAGGATTCGTCTGGGGAAAATGGTGTCAGCTCTAATTGGTGGATTCTTGGATCACAGGACAATGAATTGTCAACTGCCAATGATGAATCAACGTTACAGACGTTACCGGATATTGCCTTATCCTCAACTAGTACCGAAAGTCATCCTCAATCACCAAACAATCGAAGCGAAAAACAATATACAATCGGAGAAAAAAAGAAGTATGAAGAAACAAATAGAAAATCAGACTACAAAGAGAAGAACGAACAAGACCATCAAGAAGACAAAGAGTGCATCAGAAAAGAAGGAGGTAAATTAAATATTTTAAAATTTACTAAAGTAATGAGTTACGATTATCCTTAATGTAAACAATGTTTTTTTCTCTCTCTCTTTTTTTTTTACTGTTACTATTACATGCTTGCTTACAGATAGATATTTGTGAATTTCTCCTATTAATAAAGTCGTACAGATTCTAATCAATCTAACACGTTCAAATTTGTATAGTTATAATGGATGTAAAAAATGCAACAATTATTGGTTCAGTATGAATAATAATTTATTTCTCTTTGTATGAAGTTAAGTACTCCATTAAAAATTTTTTATCGTGATAACTTATTTATTGCAATCTTTATTAAATGTATTTCCAGAAGAAGAAACACGAAGAGTTCTCCGAGCAAGAGGAGTTTCTTCGTACACAGAACAATTGTACCTATATGATGAGATCGATGAGAGCGAGTTGGATGAATGGACCAACTTTAAGACCATCAACACGCCTCCCAGCACACAGATCAGTACATCCACTCCTTACTCTTCTTCGAAAAACAGACACGACAACAATTGGTCAGAGAAAGAGGACTCAGACCAAGATTGGATATTACCAAGCTCTCGCAAAAGGAAAAATAAACGTTCGTGTGAGTAATTAATCAAAATGAACATCTTAAGCATTTGTTATACGTTGTAATATCACCCCTCCCTTTGTAATTTTCTTTCTCTTATATTTTCCAGCCAATAATAAAAAACTGAAGTCCTTGCAGATAAAAAATCTGAATAAAAAAATAACTATACTTCAAGATGTAGATAAACAAGGTACATCAAGTAGTAATAATAAGGATAATCATAGTAAAGAAGGAAAAGAGCAGAAATCAGAAAAGATTTTAAAAATACCCAATATTTTAAAGAGATGGTCTAAAAAATCAGCATCTGATTCGAAGAAAATAATATATCCTCAAATACAGGAAAATTCAGTACGGACTGTATCTTCTGTAGAAGCAGCTAAGATTGGATATGTAGATAGCGTACATTCGGAGTTAAATATTAAAGATGAGACGCCAATTCTAGATTCCGTATCAAATCAATGTAAAACTAATTATACTGTACCTGAAATAAGTTATCTCGTACAACCAAATATCGTACCTACCTTTCAACAACGTTATTATATGCAAGAAGTTCAACCAGACTATGTTGTTTACAATCAACAATCTAATTTTCTTCCCATACAACAAGTACCTTGCATAGTAACGTCACAACAAATTGTAAGTCATCCATCGTATAATATAAGCACAGCAAAAATGGACGCGAATGTTCAATCAATGCAGAAGTCCAATGAACTTACTGTAGTAAAAAAAAATGCGCAGAAGAAAGAATCTACATTGCAATCCAATTGTAAAGATATTACAAGACCTAGTACCATGCCACGAGCTTCGTCTAGCTCAACATTGCTAAAAAGAAAGATTAAGAATAATTTAGATACAAATAAAACTAAAAAGAAGACCACGTCGTTGATTATATTAAGTGATAGCGATGATGAAATTGAAATTCTCAATGAGAAAATAGATGATAATGAAAATAATAAGAAAAATAAGACATTATCGAAACCGATAACTGTTCCAGATGATATTGCTAATAGTTCTTTAAAAAATATTATTCCTCAAGAATTTATGCAACGTATAAATCAAGGTTGTATTTCGATAACACCAATTAAACCAACACAGCAAACGCAAAGCGCCCCAACGCAACTAGTTGTTGTTGTTAATGAAACCGGAAATTATTACGCCCTGGCTTTACCAAATGGAAGCAAACTTATTCTTACTCCTGAACAAGTTGCACAAATTAGAGCTTCCAATGGGGGAAAACTCATTCTATAAAATAAAGATTATTGTTTTATCAGTATAAATATTAAATATATTGGTATGAATATACTATACTAACGAATATTTTACTGAAGATTGTATCCGTTAAAGAGTTTATATCCTGCATTTAATATTGATAATACTGGCAAAATTGTTTTTTTTTTTT